GTTCACAGACATTAAAAACCATTGGGTGTTATGTTTTTTGTACAATGTATGACTCATAGGACAGTGAATGTGGTAAGTGATTTGTATTTTTGAATTAAAATAAAATGAAAGGCAGTAATACAGTTTAAAAACACGTGGTGAAAGTGATTTTATTTTACTCGTAAGATTGGGACACCTGATATATAAACTCGAAATAAAGAACCTGATATGCTGATACAAACAGAAAATGGAAATGAAATGGAGGTGCAGAATTCTGCAGTGGTAACTCCAAAATTAAGCCTTGCTGGGAGGAGAAGGAGGAGAGTAACCAATTCTCTGCGGTTAGGGCGACTCAGGGAAAACGCCAGAATTCATTTAGAAAGAAAGAAAAAAAAACTCGAAGAAGAAAAGTTGGCTTTAGAAAGAGAGAAGTTCGAGTTTGAAAAACAGAAATGAGAGAGAAAATTGAAAATAGAAGAAGTAAAACTTGAAAGTGATCAGCTAGAAAGAAGACAGTCTTTAGAAATAAGTGAGTGCCAAATATATTGCAATCGAAAATGAAAGTGATAGAACAATTGCCAAAAAGAAGTAACTAGTATTTTATTTTTATGTGTTTTTTTATTAAAAGAAATTTCTTTTTAAGATCAATTGTCGGATTAAGTGATTATTTAGTTTTTATTTCATATTTTTGTTTGTATGTTAGATTTTTTAGTGGTAGTTTCACATAGTATTAGTTTTTTGTAGTATTGTGTATTCCACATAGCATTAGGTTTTTTGTGTTTTATGCAAATAAAGCAATAAAAATGTGTTCATTGTTTGGCTGTTAATACCATTATCAGTTAGTATTCCTCACATTAGAATCTCAAATTTACTTAAATAAAACAAAGAAACAGAGAAAAAATGATTAATTTAAATAATTGTGATTTAATAATTGGGTCATGAAAGCGAACACTGTTGGTGACGGTTAGGTTAGTTTTATATCAATATAAGATCATCAAATGGTAATGTGCCTCACGCATGTTAATAGATTTGACAGCAAACGTGCTTGCTCAAATATTCTGGGTAGAAGAGACAAGGATATTGGCTGGGTTTCTAAAATTTTCATTTATGTAGGGCCTGTACATTTAAAATGTTCTTCTACACAGCGGTTAGTGAAAGTTTAGCATATATAAGTATATATTTGCATTAAATTAGTAGGATCCAATATTGTTGGTTAGTTTTTTATAACAAACATCCCTAATCTAACTAAAATTTACCAAGAATGCTCTGATTTCTAATGCAAAAAGGTGACTGTTTCGATTCCTAATGAAAATATTGTTGAGAGTTTGTTCTCAAATGCCCTCAATATTTCAAGATGCATTCTAATCTATGATAATTTCTATCTTAGGTTGTAATTATTCCATGACAATTTATCATCGCAATTTCACTGTAAAAGAGTTATATTATTTGCTTATAATATAGAAACAGTTCTGAGATTTCCTTTTCAGGTAATAAATAGTTAAAAAAATTATTACAGTAGGATAATATACAAATATAGTTGTAGATGAGCAAGGGGAGGTATGCAAAAATGAATAAAATACTGTATTAATTTATCATTAAAAACGAATGACTAGGGAGAAGTGCGTTCAGTGCTTGTTTGCTTGAGCCCCGCAATTCCTGCCTTTCATTTACAATACCATTAAATTATGATAGTAAGAACATTTTTATTTGATACAAAATATTCACTCTCGTGTATGAAAAATAAATTGAATCATGAAATAAAATTTCATTTCTCGATGCTTAAAATAAAAAACTAAAACATACATCCATCTCGTCATTATCTCAATGGATCAGGGAAACTGGAGAAAAGCCAGATCGAGGTGGGGTCACTGACCCAGAGGGTGGAAGTTCAATATTTATTTCAGACATAATTAAAGGAACAAACATAATATTAACAAAATCGTAATATTGAAACATTTAGTCAAAATACTATGAATGTAAATATTCCTCAAGTTGTGCGTTAAAAAAACTACCAACTTGACTACCATGAAGATAGGTATAGCAGCTACTAAGAAGAACTGCTGTTTTGTACATGTTGCCAACATCTTACAGCAAGAGATTCTGATATTTCTTGAAGTCGATGGTGGCAAAATCATGAACAACTTTGGCAAATCCCCATTTTACAGATTGCCGAAGTGCACTCACAGCAAAATTGAATGACTGCGTATCCTCACAAAGGTTTCTTCCTTGGAATGGACGAAGCCTGAAATTGACATCTGCCTTATTTGATACTGACTGTCTCCATAAATAACATACGTCTTGTCCGAGAACACCGCAGTTTCCAGCAACTGATCATAAAAATCTGAATCCCGTAGCATAGCTAAATTAAAGAAAATTTTACCACAGTAATTATAAAATTTGAAATAAAATATCCTTATTAAATTCATAATTAATTTATGCTCTCCTGCATATGTGTCTTCTCCAGCAAACAGCCCTGAAGATTGGCAATAATGTCATCTGGGCACACTACTGACTGATACTTAAGGCAATGTTTTCTTGTGTTACCCGATTAGTATTTCTCCTGATTAAAAGAAAGTCTGCGAATAGCTCTAGCAGTACCATCTATAAATCCGCAGCAATTTAGAATGGGACGGCCTTTTCCATGAATAGCCTGAACACAAATTTGTACCGTACAGTGTAACAATATAAAAAACATTAAGGTATGAAAGATGAACAATAATTCGATTGGATTACGAGTATTGATAGCAACTCCTCATTCTTTTTCAAAATCACATTTTTACATATGATATATATATATATATATATATATATATATATATATATATATATATATATATATATATATATACTAGCGGACCCGACAGACTTCGTCCTGTCCAAAAGATTTGTAATGTGACAGTTTTTTGTTCCTACATATTTTATAGTCTGGGCAACAATCTCCTGAACAGAACCGTCACCCTGGTGATAGGGCGTTGTGAATAAGAAATATAATTAAATAAAACATATATAAGCATTTAAAAGTAAGTAATCGCTTTATTGTTAATCATGCGAATCATAATTATTAACAAAAATCAGTTTAATTTTCATTGTAGTGCTTTGTAACATACAATGTTTTTTGTTTGATTACCTGGCGCATAGACAAACAAATCTGATGTTTTTCCAACACGGGAACATACAATTGAGCATGTGAGAAACATGGGTTTTCCAGATTAATATCACAAACACTTAATGATTGCCCCTGGGACTTGTTTATGGTCATAGCAAAAGCAAGCCGAACTGGAAACTGTAGTCGTTTAAAGTTAAACGGCACATCAGTCGGAATCATTGGGATGCGCGGTATGAGAACGTTTTCTCCTTTATACTTTCCTTTCAGTATAGTTGTTTCAATCACGTTGTTTAGTAATTTTTTTATCGCTAACCGTGTGCCGTTGCAAAGACGTGGTTGGTTATTTCGTTAGTTCGTACGTTTCGTTCGTACGTTTTCGTAGTTACATATAACTACCGATCCAACCTTTCATTGAAGATTGTGAGGTGGCAATCCTGGTATGATGAAAAGATGGTGCGCGGTCGGTGGCCCGTTTGTTAGGGTAGTACTTCGGCATTAGCCTGGTGTTGGAGAAACCACGGAAACTGACCGATCAGAGCAGCCGGCTGCTAGAATTCTCCTCCAGACCTCGATTGAATCCTGGCTCAGTCCGGACTCGAACCCTTACCCCTCCCAGTTAGAAGTTCACCAGTGATGCCCTAAGTCACTGAAGCCGAGGATTTCCGACGTCTCGCATCCTGGTGAACTAAAGCGAAAACAAATGGTGGGGACGAGAACATTTTGTTTCGCATTTTAGAAAAGGAAAAGCGTTTAAATAGTCATTTATGCACCAAAGGCGCTAAATGGTTCTAATGATCAAGCTCAAGGGTTTTTTGTCACCATTGGATCATTAACACCTATTGCACGTTGTACATACTGTAGCCTCGTGTCACGCTCAAAACAGACAACCACGTGGAAATCGGCGAAGCATCGCCGAATGTTAAACAAAGGGCGGAGTGATGACACATTGGGACTTTCCGTGGACGTAGCAAGCCCAAAGCGGCTTTGGGGAGGAGACAATGGGAGCGGCGAGTAGAACCAAAAGGGCCTATTCAAGGCCACGAGAACAATGCCCCAGACTTCTTGTTCTAGCGGCGTCGGCGACAAGTGAAGCGCGTGTCTGTGCGTGTAGGTGCACTAGGGCGAGGGACCGACAATTCATTGTCGTGACTTGCGAGAAGGTGCGAGTGGTCTCAAAGTAGAGCGGCTTCATACAGGGAACATTGGTGGTATGTTGCGGTGTGGTAGCTGTTCTTAAATTATCTCTCCTTGTAGTGTGTTTATTTATTTAGCTTATTGTGAGCAGGGTAGTTGTTAAATTGAGACTACGTTCTAAATTGGTAATAAATCTACTGTTTTGCAAACCACTCACGTCTGTGTTCGATTACACCCGTATAACGCTACAATACAATATTTTATATTTTACTTCATGTTAATGATTCCGATTTATTTCTTTTCCAATTAACTAAATTTTAATCTAACTCGGTTTCTCTTTTGATGTTTACCTTCCATATTCCCTTCATGAGAGAAAATGTAGCATCATTCAATTGATTTCATATTTCACTCGTAATCACAATCATATCGATCCAGATACCTTTGAGTTGTGCAGCTCCTATATCGAGCTAAATAACGTGGTCAAACATGCACCATTCGTACGGGACAAATGGCCTTAGCAGTTGACGTGCTCGGAATCATAAGGAGTACGATAAGGGACATGGCCCGAAAATTCTCCCAACTAATAATATTTCATGGTTATTTTTTTTTACAATTTCCTCACCTACGCAACGTGTCTTCACACTTTCCATGGAGAAGGGGCGACACCGAGCGCGAAGGGGTAGCATAGCCAGCGGCCAAAGTGCGAACTCCGAAAGTCATGGAGCAAGAAATCTTCAAAGAAAATAGACGAACGGTGGGGCAAGCAAGGGATCAAGGAGGCAGTGACATCAGCGTCGCGCGGAAGCTCTGCGAATTTCTTATGCGTCGTCGTCTTCGCGTGGAAAGGTGCGCAGTTATAAAGAGGCGTGCGCGAAGGTCCGTGAATAGCAAAAGGGCTCGACAGAATATTCATTAAGCGACGGGGGGTGTTTGTGGACAGAACTGATATTTAAGTCGTATTAAATGTGAAGAGTAAATTGTGACTCAGAGAACAGGTGAAGTGTGTATGTATGAATTACGGCAAGAACGCGCATTATCGTTGGTTTACTCCACGTAGTCAGTACTAGTGTTTTCACCGGAAGAAACTGCTTGCTTAGTTAGCGAATTATTTATTCTGAAACCCGCGTACTGTAAATTGTACAGTGAGACAAATGGACTACGTTCACTGTAATGCGTCCGCGTTAAACCAGGTGGATGGTTCAAGAGACTAAATCACGTTCATTAGGAGTGTTGTGGTAGGACAATAGAATAGAGTGGAGCTGAACAGCAGCATTGCACCGAGAGGAATCGAATGGCAATGAACTGAACGAGATCGCGGCTTTGAGCATTCTGTGCAGAGCCCGTGTCCACACGCGTGCGTGAGACTCCACTCCAGTCGGCGTAGTTACGGAGGTAGCAGGGGCGGTGCTGTCGTTTGGAGGCAAGGTCAGCGAAGCTTTCCTCGCTTCCCTTGCTACTACATGTGAGTATTTGTCTCGTGCGTGCGAAACATAAAACCAAGTACAGATTTTTTATCTGCAAAACTGTTAACCTGTTATCCGAAGTGACTCGACGCAATACAAGGAAAAAGAGAAGTGCTTACGTGTGCCATGAGAAGTGCAGTAACTGAAGTAGACGAGTCGATGTAGTTGAAACAACATAGCACGTTTTTAAATATTTGGTCTTGTGGGTAAAAGTTCTTATGTTTATTTGTTAATTGTTTTTGTGTTGTTACTCACCTGGTTTGTGAAGAATATTTTTTGTTGGTATGGATAGATTGAAACAAGTTAAATTTTATTTTGCACTAGACTAAGTTTCCGTCGCTGACGACAGATTATTAGTTATGTACAAAATATCCAGTAAACCTATTTTACAGATTACAATGAATCTTACCCTTTCCGAGTAACAGTGCCTAAACCCCAGCATTATTTTTTTACTAAATAAATGGGTTGAAGTGTAGTACACGGTACAACCTAATGAAATTGTCGTTTAAACCGACACTTCGCGCAGGGGAAATCCATGGTGGGGGAGGAATGGTGAGCAATATGCGTAACTTAATACATATATATATACATATATATACTTATATTTATATACATACATATATACATATATTTATATACATATATATAGCAAAGTGTACGGGCGGCAGCCTCGCCGCCGAACCGATTTAAATACATTGTAAAAAAAAACACTTCTAAAATAATTTTAATGGTTCGTAATTGGTCAGAAGTTAGGGGTGGAGAAATTTCATCCTAATATCTTGTCGAAACTTCATTACGAAGTGGTCTGTGGTGGCACGTAAATCGTGTTTTTGTCTACGTGATTTTCTGTCGGGGTTGCTGTCGTACAGTACTGTTTCTTGCGTTCTTCAGATTCTTTGTGATTTGTGTTCTTGAGTGTCGATTGTGTGCTACGATGGTGAGAATAAATGTGGGTGTATTTGCGCATTGCGCCAAAAGTGGTGTTTGACTGTCATTGAATGGGCGCAAGATAGTATGATTGCTGCAGGATTTAAGTGTGCTGTGTGTAAGTGACCTATAAGGTTGGCCTAGCGAAAAAAGTTGTGTGATGGTTTCGAATGGAAGTGCAGCAAGAAAAGGGGCCACTCCTCATGTACATAAGTGTTCCGTGCCGAAGGGGCCATGGTTTGTGAGAAGCTTGTTGAGTATAATTCAGGTATTAGTAATGACCTATTTTTGTGTTATAAAACAGTCAGTCAAACCCAATAAAAACCGCGTATCGGTAAGTTAGATACATTTCTGTCCGAGCGCTTAGCGTAATTTGAGGAATGGCTAGAGGATACCCCTCCTTCCCCTTTCCCCTCCCCCTCCTGGCGCCCCCCTTCTCCAAGGGTGTACCGAGTACTCAACTTTAACCAATAATGGTTATTTTTTATAAGAAAAATATTATCTGCTGTACATAAAAATATAGAAAGGATAATTGTAAATTACGTAAAATGAACTACGCGGTTGGCGCACGTGCCAAGTTCGTTCCCAGTGCGTAGAGGAAAGAAAGTGCGCAAATGACCTAGAGTACTTGTATATACCATATTATCACGCCAGGAAAGAAACAAAGCGTCGAGTAAAGGAATGTAAATAAAGTAATCAAATATAAAAAACTGAAAATGCATTATGCAGGGTTCAAAATATTTAAGTACACTTGTCATAAATTTCCACATTACTTCATTGAAAGGTACATTAAAGTAGTTATCATCAACGCACATTACACTCGATCTACATATGTACATTAGGATGAAGTCATAGATTTGTGGACATATCTGGAATGGGGTCATTGGCCTGGAAGCTGAAGTACATTACTTAATGTACACTCTTGGAAACATAAAGTTTCGCGTCGAAAATGCCTTGGCCCGATAGGTTGATGGCTCTGNGTCCAGCGCCATCAACTTCTCGGGCCAAGGCAGTTTCGACGCGAAATTTTATGTTTCCAAGAGTGTACCTATAATAAGTCTTATTTAAATTATACAAATAAATTAAATACTATTCTTATTATTGTTTTGTTAGAAAAATATTATTTTCTTTTTGATGTTCAGTTTGGTCTCTAATAGAATAAAAACAGTTTTGCAGCAGAAAAGATTTTACTTTTAACTTCAATTTGTGTGTCCACTTTAGCATGTGACAAAAGTAACTTAAGTGCATTGTATGTAGATTTCACGTAGTGAGCCGTTGATAATGATACTCGATGAATGTGATGTGTGTACTATGTGTGTACTATGTACTATGTGTGTTTTAATTAAATAATCGGTATTGCATGAATATATGTTCCCACCGTTAAGAAAGTCAGTTTTGACAAAAATTACCTATTCGTAAATAAATAGGCAAGGCAATGTTAAGATTCCAAGATCAATGAATAGAGGCTTGCAGGGATAACGTGGGTGGCATTTTTCATTGTTCGAATAATTTTCATTTGCAATCTAAAAGTCTGGGTACTACAGGATGAGCTTCGCCAGGATATTATGCCACTTCTCAGGTAGGAGGCGCCGCGCCCCACCTACCTCGCTTCCCAATGGACCCGAGCGCCACGGACACTTTGAGCAAAGTCAGCGCCGTGGCGAACAGCGTATTCCTAAAGTGTAGTATAGTGAAGTGCAAATGAATGGGATGAATGGGAAGAATGAATGGTTATGTATACAATTAAACAAGTATGAATGATGTGTGAGTGTAGAGAAAAAAATCTCATATACATAATAAGAACAATTTCTCTAGTTAATTAGTTAAGAACTCATCTTAGTGTAAGTTAAGAATGACAAAGTGTAGGTAATTTACCTTCAGAATTAAAATACTAAACTTTGATATTAAAGCAAAGATCCTCTTCTAGCTGCTTAAGCCCCAAGGCACTAGCTTAATGTGCTAATTAAAAGAGAAAAAATTCTCGTCTCCCCAGGGTTACTGTGGAGGGGACAAGAAAAAAAAGGTACGTGGTTATCCAGTCTAGGGTAAGACCACGAATTCCATATGAAGGTAATTTTGTGAACAATTTTTACAAGAGATGCAAAATTATTTCTAATACTTACTTTATTTGTTGCTACAATACTATGCATAGACTTGAACTTTGAATTTTGCTGTTTTTGTTTTAAATGGTTTCATAGACGTGTCTATGAATTCGAAAATTACACGGTTATGCAATTTTGCAAATTTTATAAACATATAAACAATTGCAAACTTGTAATTATAATTGTTTTCGAATCGATAAATATATAGTTAACTGGATATTTGATAAATGTTCTGGATTATTTTTAAACAATAATACTGAAAATAAACGTGTATGAAAATCGAAGTGCTCTAAAATAAGCGTTATTTTATCTCGTCTCAACGTACTTTCTTCAAAAAGAATTATGTTTACAGTGACTAAACTTATATTTTCTTATATATTTTAATGTATTTACTTTCATGTTGATAAACGTTTTCATTCTATGTATTTTTATTTGGAAATCCGCCATCTTCTATGACGTAATTTTGCTAGACCGCTTCTCCTCCCTTTTGAGATTGGCTGCGGCTGTTTTTGAGGTTCCGACTGCAACGTTTCGTCATGCTCAGGGCTGCCCAAGCCGTGAAAAGGCTGAACTCAGCTGCAAACGGCGCGGTTAATTTTTCTTGCCAGAACTCTACAATAATTAGGTTCAGGAAATAAGGTAATTGTGTCCAAAGAGATCGGAGGGTGGAAGAGAACTAGGAAATTTGGATGGGGATGGGACTTCAGCAGAACAGTTCCGAGTTTGAGAAAGGATGTGTTTTGCAAGCTCGCTTCCGAGTGCATGTTTTCCGACATGGTTCAGGTGAAGACCATGCCGGGTCGAGGGATTGTTAGGTAAATTTGAGAGACATTTTTCATAATGCAGAGGTTGATGCAGGGTTTGCAGGGTTTTCATAATGTACGTAATATTATAATTTGATACATTGATAATATAACATTTCGAATATGTTAACTGATATGCCTTATAGATCTTATTACGATTTGAAGTACTCGTACTTGAAGCATATACGTCTCTAAAAAAGGTGATACGTAACAATGAAATATTAGTGACTAATGGCAATTAAAAATTCACAGGTGCGTTCCATAATTACAGGTTTATTATCAATTTAGCTAAATAAGTTATAACGAGTTATTTAACTCTTTTAAGCATTATTCCACTTATTTATTGTATCTTAACTTTAATAAATTGAATCCATAAAATTGTATTTGTTGTGTTGGTAATAGTGGACAATAAAGTATTCAAAAGGCCCGCGCGGACATAAAGAATCAGAAAGTCCCGCAATGGTATTAACAATACGCGTTTTGTTTCATGTCCGTAAACACCCAGCAATGAAGTAGAAAATCATAAACATTGTGAACTAAATACCTGTTACATTTACTAAGCACTACTTAACAGTGCATCGTTTTCATAATTTCATTTATCGACGGCATTTAAAATCTCGTACCGTCCGTCTTCATAAAATAAGTGAACTGAGTAATTTAAAATTGAGGAAATGGATTACCTCAAGAAATGCCAGTATTATAAAGCAAACGAATTAAAATTGTTTTACTAGCGGACGCGACAGACTTTGTCCTGTCAAAAAGATTGGTAATGTGACAGTTGTTTGTTCCTACATATTTTATAGTCTGGACAAAAAATTCTCCTGAACAGAACTGTCACCCTGGTGGTAGGGCGTTGTGAATAAGAAATATAATTAAATAAAACCTATATAAGCATTTAAAAGTAAGTAATCGCTTTATTGTTAATCATGTGAATCATAATTATTAACAAAAATCAGTTTTATTTTCAATGTAGTGCTTTGTGATTTACGACGTTTTTGTTGATTACCTGGCGCATAGACAAACAAATCTGATGGTTTTCCAACACGGGAACAGGCAACATACAATTGACCATGTGAGAAGATTGGGTTTTCCAGATTAATACCACAAACACTTAATGATTGCCCCTGGGACTTGTTTATGATCATAGCAAAAGCAAGCCGAACTGGA